GTGGTGTTGGAGAAGACTCTTGAGAGTCCCTTGGACTGCAGGGAGATCCAACCAGTCCATCCTAAAGGAGATCAGTCCTGGCTGTTCATTGGAAGGACTGATGTTGAAGCTGAAACTCTAATACTTTGGACATGGATGGGAAGAGCTGACTCATTGGAAAAGACCCTGATGCTGGGAACAACTGTGGGCAGAAGGAGAAGGGGATGACAGAGGATGAGATGGTTGGATGGTATCAGCGATGCAATGGACATAAGTTTGGGTAAACTCTGGGAGTTGTTGACGGACAGGGAGGCCTGGCGTGCTGCAGTTTATGGGGTCACAAAGAATCGGATACGACTGAGCGACTGAACTGAACTGAACTGAAACCCATTGCCTTTCTGGATTGCCCTCTCACTCTGCTATTGTGCTTCCAAAGACAACAACAAAAATTAAGTTCTCCTTGCCCTTCTCATCTTATATTTCATTTATTCTCAGAGATTTCAGAGCAAAGCAAGAGCCTTTGAGGCCCCAAACACTTGTTGTTGGCAGCCCATATCTTCCTGTTCACCCCATCACCCTCCGAGGCACAGATTCTCAGGGAGGGTCATTCCCAAACCTGGACCAGAGTAACACTGATCAGCTGGGTGTGCAAACCAGCCTGGACCACGCTCGTGTTACCGGGGAAGAGCCTGAGGCTGAGAACAATTATACGGGTCATCCAGGGTCACGGTGTCACTCAGAGCGCTAGGTCTCAGCGGTGTGGTGGTGAGACCCAAGCCTTCTCCCCAGGCCTTGTGTGCCTTCCCTTTATCTGTTCTACTTGCATCCTCACTGCTGCTTTGAGGGTATTTCTGTCTTTTCCCAGCTGTCTCCTCCATTTTCTTCTTCATTTTTTTTTCCTTTTACTTCCTCTCGCGTTAATGTCTCTAGGAAAGAAGCCCTGCATGTCACAGGATACCTGCACAGGGGACCTGCTAAAATCCCTTACCCATGGTGGAGGTCATCGTTTGAAGTATTGTCATCCCAGGTGGCCGTCCCGTGGTTGAGCCCTTGCTTCTAGTGCAGGGGGCATGGGTTTGATCTCTGATCAGGGAACTAGGATCCCACAAGCCACTCAGCCAAACAAAAAAAAAAGGTATTGTCATTCAGATTCACTTTAGGGAAAACAGCATGGCTGAGACCAGGCGGTGACTGGAGGAGGGAAGAAGGGCCGTGAGGCTCCTCCGTGTGTCTTCTACTACCCACTCCCTACCCAGGAGCCAGAGTGTGAGAAGGATGGAAAAGCAGAGCTGGGAAACCGAATGCAAGTGTCTGGCTGGACCTAGCTGAAGCCCACCAGCGTGTCATGCTCTTTTTCATCTCTCAGCCTTCGCCTATGCTGGTCCCTCTGACCAGAAGGCCTTCCCCTCCCTGACTCTTTCTCCTGGCTGGCTTCCACTCGGCCTCCCAGACTCTGGAACCACTTCCTCTTCAGGCTCTGGTCTCCCCACCCTGCACCCCAAGCGGCTTCTCTTCCTCCCATGTGTTTCCACGGCATTCTGCATTGCTGCTGTCTTCACACCATGTGCTCTGTGTTATAATGGTCTCTTATTTGGGCAGCAGGAGTTCTGTAGACTCAGAATGGAGTTAGCAACACAGTTTGTTCTTATTGTCTTTATATCGATTTAAACTCAAGTCTGAGTCTGTCATCTGCTGGGCTGGCAGGAAATTCCATTTCACTCTGAACTGGGCTCCTTCCTTAGTGTAATACAGGAGTCTAAGAGGCTGATGTGGCACTTGGAAAAGGAGGGGCCTTGAATTTTTTGTGCATCAGGGTCCAAGCCTGAGAAGACTCTGGGATCCAGGAGCCCTCTGTTTCTGTGCCAGACCCAAATCATGGGATTTCTTTGCTGGTGCTGGGAACCCTGGGACCAGGGGTTAGCCCCCTCTGTGCATTCCATGTTGTGATCTTGCCACCTGTGGGCTCTGCCCGGGACAAGGGCACAGTCCCTACTTGTGGAGTTGCAGGTGTCTGTCCCCTCCTCCATGGGGGGACACTGGCAAATCTCTGTCTGCATCCACTCCTCTGGGCCACCTCCTTTAATCTCTTCATTGACTGTAGCCTATCATAAAACAGATAAAGAGATGTTCCCTTCACATGACTTTTCCTTTGGGCATTGTCAGTACCCCGCAGGGAGAGGAATGTGAAAAGTCCAGACACAGTCTCAATGAAAGACATGTAGGGAGAAGGAACAGACCTCCATAGGTTGTCCTGTCCTGTTTGTTTGGATGCCCCAAGGCATTCCCAGGACCTCGGACCTGGGCCACATTATGTACTTCGTGATGATTTGGGAGAAGAATGAAAGTTGAATCTTGACTGGTCTAAGGCTGCCACTTAGGGTTTTTCAGATTGTGTGCTGACTGCACAAATACTGAGGATCCCACTCAGATGTGGTTATTGAACAAGATAGTTTTCCAGCAGATGTTTCCTAAAGTGTCTAGTAAAGTCAAGTCAAGTCGCTCAGTCGTGTCCAACTCTTTGCGACCCCGTGGACTGTAGCCCACCAGGCTCCTCCGTCCATGGGATTCTCCAAGCAAGAATACTGGAGTGGGTTGCCATTTCCTTCTCCAGGGGATCTTCCCAACCCAGGGATCGAACCCGGGACTCCTGCATTGCCAGCAGACACTTTAACCTCTGAGCCTTTTTTCTAATTTTCTCTCTCAAAGTTATAATCAAATCGTTGCCAACCTGGGTCCTTGGACTCTTTAATCAATTGTTGTTATTCAGTCACTCAGTCTTGTCTGGAGTCTGCAACCACATGGACTGCAGCACACAAGGCTTCCCTGCCTTTTAATCAATAGAGATTGATAACAGACCAGATGAGGAATTCAGGCAAAGCTTTACTCTTAGTGAAAACAAGAAAACAGGTGCCCTTGCTCTCTACAGAGGACAGGCTAGTTCCTTGAGTGGGGCAAGGGTGGGGATGGACCAGAGCGCTGGCTTAAGTGATCTGCCCACCCCCATGGTGGTGCTGTATGCAGTTCCCTGCCTTTGTTCCCAGCGCCTCAGAAATGGCAGTTGGTTTGTGCCCTTTTTGTGTTCCTTATTGTATGCTGTTCATAATTTGCCCCAACTACACATGCACACAGATATTTTCAGTCCCTTATAGTTTCTTTGTATCTGTTGCTCAAGGAGATATTTGTCAGGCGTGAGCTCCGCAGTAGAGAGTCCCAGGTCCCAGTCTATCTCAAAATCCAAAGTGTAAAAGAGTCATTCATTAATATCATGTTTGCATCATTTGTAGTTATTTGTACCTCTGAGTGTTTGTAGACATTTATAAGTAAACTGTTAACAAAACATGTTTTGTTTTTTTTTTTAACATTATTTATTTATTTTTGGCTGCGCTGGATCTTCATTGCTGCTCGTGGGCCTTCAGTGGATACAGTGGACTGTGGCAAGCAGTGGATACTCTCTAGCTGTAGTGCCCAGGCCTCTCATTGCAGTGGCTTCTCTTGTTGGAGAGCGCAGGCTCTAGGGCATGTGGGCTCAGCAGTTGTGCCCCATGGCATGTGAGATCTTCCAGGACCAGGAATCAAACCTGTGTTCTCTGCATAGGCAGATGGACTCTTCACCACTGGACCACCAGGGAAGTCCAAATATATATATATTTGCCCAAATATATATATATATAATATATATATAAAAATATATATATATAATTTTTTTAAATGTAGTTTGTCTTAATCACTTTCTTGATGCAGTCTGAACCCATTCTTTCTTTTTTTGTCTCTACTAATGATTGAAAGTTTTTCTCCAAACTGACGGGGGCAGCTTGCATTTATATGAAGACAGTTATCAAAGGATACATTTGTGCTTTTAAGTTTAAGAAAATTCTCTTATTGTGTTTTGTTGACAGATCATTTGGCAAAGGAACCAGTGGAAGACACAGACCCTAGCACTATATCCCTTAATACGGTAGGTTACTCATTTGACATTAATGGTGTGGCTTTGTTTGTTTTTTTTTCTCCCTTTGTTATTGGTGTTAGACTCTATTCTCATTTTGCACATGTCAGGAGTGTTCTTCTTAGATTATGTGAGGTCTTTATCTACTTGTCTTTTTAAGTATGTATTTTTATTTATTTTTATTTTAAATTTATTATTTTTTTTGGCCACACCACGTGGCATGTGGACTCTTAGTTCCCCCACCAGGGATGGAACCTGTGTCCCTTGCATTGGAAAGCGAGTTGTTAACCACTGGACCACCAGAGAAGTCTCTGCTTGTCTAATTTTAATACTATCTATTTTTAATGACCCCGTTCTTCAGAAATCAAAATATATAGCTTGGGATTGAAAGAAAAAATATGAACACCTTACAGTAATGGAGGGCTGCCCATAGGTAGGTGGGCATACATTGTCAATTACCACTTTTACCCCTGAAACAGTCCTGAAAGGTAGGCATTGCCTGCTTCATAGCTGAGACACTGAGACACAAGGAGTGAGGCAAGTCACCAAACTTGGAAGCAGCCCAGGTGGGAGTCGAACCCATCAGCTGGCTTCAGATCCCTGCCCCACCATCCCATAACCACTCTGTGCTGTGTGTACTGTGATAAAAGATTTTATTATTCTCCTGTAGATGAGGATATGGCACTTAGCTGGTTTGTAGAAAGTCAGCCAGACTGAAGCCCTGCTCCCTACTCGGTACTGCCTCTTACTTATGACCAAATAAATGCCTTTGACAGCATTGTGTGCGTTACTATGCATGCAGTGTGAGATACAGTCCTGTTTTTCAAAGTGTCTGGAGGATGTGATCTATTGAGTCATGAAGAATTTGTATTAATTTAGTTAGAATGGCATAAGTATTCTCAAGGGATTTCAGTTCAATGTCTTTAAGTCTTTGGTGGAGACTTCCCTGGTGGACGAGACTCCATGCTCCCAATGCAGGGGGCCTGGGTTCAACCCCTGATCAGGGAACTAGATCTTGCACTCCTCTACTAAGACCCAGCACAGCCAAAAAAAAAAGGCGGGGTGGGGGGGGGTAATTCACAAGGCACCTTAATGTCTTAGAGACCCGAAATGCTTGTTTTCATGGCCTCGTATTATAACTACAGCACAGGTTAGCAAATGTGGACAGCGTAGGAAATCAAACTTTGAGACACTGCCAATATGAAAAATTTCCAGCTCCTAACTCGTGTAGAAGCAGAGCACACAGTGGCCCTGTGGCCAGGTCTTATGATCCTCTCGGGTGTAGCCTCTTACTAAAGCCGTGGGTTCTATAGAGCAGCACTCCCCAACTTTTTTGGCACCAGGGTCAGTTTCATTGCAGACAAACTTTCCACAGACCAGGAGGGGATGGACGGTTTGGGGATGATTCAAGTGCATTATATTAATTGTGCACTTTATTTCTGTTATTATTACATCAGCTCCACCTCAGATCATCAGGCATCAGATCCCAAGGTTGGGGACCCCTGAAAAAGGGTTACTTAATTCGCCCTTCACACTGCCTGACCTGTGATTGTCTTCTGTCCACTCGATCCCCTGACAGCAGCATCTCCCTTCCTCGGGGGCCCCCTCCTTACGGCTCACCTTGAGTCCTGGCTGCCTCTCCTCACTCCTCTATAATACACCACAGTCTTGAGTGGGAAAAAAATAAGCATCAATCAGAAAGAACCTAAAAGTCAAACACTTTCCCCCCTGACTAAATCCTTCCCCATACTCTGCCCCCTAGAATGTGGAAAACACAACTGTACTATAGTACTTCTCAGACTCTTTTCAAGGTATTTTTCTCAGACTGTGAGTGTTTCAAGAGAAAGGACCATCCCAAGGTTTTGACTAAGTTCAGTCTACAAGAACGAACAAGTGTGGGTTTCCTGGACAGACTGACAGTTGAGNTACAGGGGGTGCACAGATTTCAACCATAACATTCCTGCTGCTTTCAGGATTAAATTTACAGTCCTTGACATGGCACATGAGGTCCCCTTGTCTCAGCATCCCAGTCGTGTGTAGCTACTTGCTGCTCCTTGGATGCCCCACGCCCTCTCGCCATCCTGGGATACCCCTAATGCTGGCCTTGCCCGCTTCCTCACCTAGTGAGCGCCTGTGCACCCTGCCACTCAACTTAAGCATTCCGTACCTGGAAAGCCTTCTCTGCTGTATCCTGGGGCCTTCAGCTGTTGTCTTCTCTACTTATGCTATTGTGTGGGGATGATTTGCTTGGCTGGCTTTCTGCAAGGCTGTGCCGACCATGTTCCCATATGCAGAGGTGGGCACCAGGCAGGCAGCAGCGTTTGGGGAGTCAAGCTTCCTGAGATCCTAGGATGGCACCTCAGTCCCTTCACCTCACTTCCAGGGTCTTCCATGGAAACCGGCTCCATTATTTCATATCCAGCTGTGTCTTCCTTTTCCACCCCCAGCATTGTCTCTGCTCCCACCACTGATGGGAGCATCTGTGATGATGTGATGATCCCATCAGTCTCCCAACCACCTGGCCTTGATCCTCTATGCTCACCATCTGCAGTGGCCGTCCTGAGTCCTGGGCATCCTCTAGGCCTGCTCAACTGTCAGTCTGTCCAGGAAACCCACACTTGTTCGTTCTTGTAGACTGAACTTAGTCAAAACCTTGGGATGGTCCTTTCTCTTGAAACACTCACAGTCTGAGAAAAATACTTTGAAAAGAGTCTGAGAAGTACTATAGTACAGTTGTGTTTTCCACATTCTAGGGGGCAGAGTATGGGGAAGGATTTAGTCACGGGGGAAAGTGTTTGACTTTTAGGTTCTTTCTGATTGATGTTTATTTTTTTCCCACTCAAGACTGTGGTGTATTATAGCAAAAGGATTCAGATTAAAGTCAGCCAAAGCAGGAGGAGCATAGGTCAGGGCCCAGGAGAGTTGTCAGCAGGTGGTTTTCAGTTCCCCTCTCAGCTGTGTGGACAGTGTTTACTGGTGTCAGTAATGGTGTATGATGATACACACAGAGTACTGACAACCAAGGAGACTCATCCAGCCTCTGGTGTCCAAAGTGTTCTTGGGGCTCAGTTGTGTAGACATGCTTGACTCCCAGTGTGTCTGACCTTAAACCCCAGGCCCTTCAAAGGTTGAATTTATAACATAAAGAAGATTAATTTCTTTTGTGGAAAGAGGTTGGAGGCTTCTGCTCCAAAGAAACTCCAAGGAAAGGTATTTAAAACAGAATCCCTGGATGCCCAAGTCCCTTCCATAAAATGGCATAGGACTTTGCTGGTGGCCCAGTGGCTAAGACTACCTGATCCCAATGCAAGGGACACAGGTTCCATCCCTGGTTGGGGAACTAAAATCCCACTTGGGCATCCAAAGTTTGGTGTCCATGGAAGGTCTTAGCATCAGCCCCTCAAGGATACTGAGTGATGACCGCATATCAGCCTTCCTTTAACTACTGATCAATAAGCAAAGTTAAATACATAGATGACAACCATGTAAACTCAAACCTCCATAGAATATTGGACTATGTTAAGGAAGTCATGTTAATTTCAAAGCTTAATAATGTTAATAAACTCAGTTTTTTTTCCCTTACAAAAAGAATCCCTGGTGCTGCATTTGTTTCCCTTCCTCCTCTGTCCAAGGAAGACAGTGGTGAGACATACAGGAGAGTGCAGAGGTGCAGCTTTGTCTAAGCTGGAGAACCATGGACCCAAAGGCCCAGAGGAGATGATGGTGGAACTGAGGCGGGGTCAGGGGCAGGCTAGGGAAATTGGGCACACTCAAGCTTCTCTCATAGAAAGCTTTGGAAAACAACTACATTGTGTAATCTGAAGTAGAAGTTTCCAGAAGCTTAGATACCTGCATATTTATCAGGACCAACAAAGAAATACATGATTGCAAGAGCATTTGCTATTTTGAATTCCCTGTGACAGTACTGCCCTCAAGGAAAGCATTGAGGAACTGTGCATAACTGTGCATAATAGGTGACTGATCTTCATGCAACTTATGGGATAGTTACCTTTTCAATCCTGTCAACCCAGGACAGAGCTCTCCAGTTGCGAGAGCTGCCCAGAATACATGCTTATTGACCCAAATGCATGTCACAGAAGTGGTGAGAAAAGAGATGACAGTCCCTCAGTTTTGAGCTGCAGGGAGTAAAATAACACTGCAGACAAGAGAGGAAGTATGGTTTATGGTCAGAGCTGAAGGCTTATTCTGTTTCATATTCCAGCGTTGACGTCTCATCAAATTTGATTTCATCTCTTTAAAACTGAGAATAAGCCAGGGGTCAGGCCTATGGATAAATTCAAGGCTAAAAACTTGCAAGATTTTAAATGAAAATCATGACTTTCCCAAGACAAAGCTTTCTTTTCACTTTGATCTTATAATTGACTACAGTGTTTAAAAAAGTAACTTTCCCCTTTTGTTGGTTTCTGCAGTCAGACAAGTATCCCATTCAAGACACAGGACTCCCTAAAGGTATGTACAGTTAATGCAACAACGTGTGCTTGTGATTATTCTCCTGTCCTGAACAAAGCACTAGTCAGTAATTTTTCATTTGTTAAAATTGTAGAACAGAAACATACTGATAATTTAGTGCCTGATTTGATCATCTGTAGCATGAATTTTCTTATTAAAATCTAGAAATGATTTTAGATCAAATGATACATCAAGTTCCTATGGTGTTTTTAGCATGGTTAAAATGAGGACAACCAGGACTGTGGGTTGCAAGTGACAGAAATATAACTCAAATTAGTTTTAAAAGGTGAGGGGTGGGGGGCTGGGCAGGGACTTCCCTGGCAGTCCAGTGGTTAAGACCCTGAACTTACAATGCAGGGGGCACAGGTTTGATCCCTGGTTGGGGAACTAAGGTCCTGCATGCTGCATGATATGGCCCCAAACCAATAAAAACAAAAAAGGGGAGGGGAAGGATTTGGTGGTTTAGAGTCTTTTGAGTCTGTTAAATCCAAACATTTAAAATGTTGTCTCAGGCTCTCTCTCTCCCTCTCTTTTTCTTTTCCTCATCTCCTTCTTCTTCTTCTCCCTCTCCCCACCCCTCTCTCTGACTCTCGTGGCTCAGTCTTCTGGGTTGACTCAGTTCTCGGGCCAGTTTTCCCCATGAGGTGGGAAAGATGGTCTCTGCCGCCTCCAGCTTCACTTGGTGCTGCTTACGACGGTGGAACAAGAGGGAGCCTTTCCCCCAGCACACACGGCTCGGTTTTAGGGGCAGTGGTGGCAGGAGCAGCTTGGTCATGTGGCGATCATATTGACTGGTCATCAGGAGGATGGAGGGCTGACCAGGTCTGAGCCTCGAGGTTAGAGGGTGGATGTGGAGGGCATGGAGATAGTTCTACTCAAACCACAGGTTCCACTGCCAGACAAGGGGAAGGGGATGATTGTCAGGTCCCAAAGCAAAAAGAGCTTTCTTTCATGATCCACAGATTAACATCTCAGATGTGGTGCAGATGCATCTGAAAGGAGCCTGAGCCTGTCCAAGGCTACAGTCTGCAAGGCTGTATCCAATAAGAAGAATGAGCTGGTGGCCTTCACAATGGAGCACTTAACCTTATGTTCTGCTGACAACCCAGGGTGAAGGGGTGGGATGGGGAGCAAGCAGATCTGACCTGCATCAGAGTTGGCAGGGCCTCCCCGGCTTCCTGGAGAGAGAGGACTTCCCAGCACAGCCTGCTGTGGGTTTCCCCAACCTCCTTCTGGTGATGAATATCACAGGACTACCAGACTGCAGGTCGGAAGGGAGCTCCCTGCCAGGACCCATCTGTGGTTAAGTCTGTGGTTCTGCTGAGTCCCCTTCTCTCATTCTCTGCTCACCAGACTCCGCTCCCTGCTTCCGGAAATGGCATCAGTACAGTTTCACCCAGGAGTGGCAGTAGTGTAGGGAAAAGAGCCTGAAGGCCAACTGTGAGCCCGATTCCTGGTGCTTCTAGGGGAGGCTGGCTTCCTGCATGTTTCCTTTCCCTTCCCCTTCTCTAATTGACTTCTCAGCATCCTGAATTCCCCACCCTGTGACTGTCTAGTTCAGCAAGAAACTCGGAGGTGCAGGCCAGGACACCAGCGTAGATAGGAAACTGTCCTGGGTAGTTCATTGGACTTCAGGGAGGGTACAGTGAAGAATTATCTGGGGAGCTAGTTTAAAATGCAGATTCTGGGCCCTGCTTCTCCAAAATCATCATGTGGTGGGTCTAGGATCAGGCCCAGAGACCTGTAGGGTTTTTTGTTTTTCACTTGTTTCTTGTTTTTTTAATTGGAGAATAATTCTTTACAATGTTGGATTAGTTCCTGCCGCACAACAAATCAAATCAGCCATGTGTGTACATATATCCTCTCCCCCTTGAATCTCCCTCCCAAACCACCCCATCCCACCCATCTAGGGCATCGCAAAGCGCTGAGCTGAGTTCCCTGTGCTATACTGCAGGTTCCCCGCTAAGCTGTTTATTTTACACGTGGTAGTGTGGTCGGGGAGGGTGAGNTCCCTCCCAAACCACCCCATCCCACCCATCTAGGGCATCGCAAAGCGCTGAGCTGAGTTCCCTGTGCTATACTGCAGGTTCCCCGCTAAGCTGTTTATTTTACACGTGGTAGTGTGGTCGGGGAGGGTGAGACACGTGGGAGATTAGGATTGAAACCTGTGTTTTAATGCGTACCTGAGTGAGTGGGTCTCAGACCTCCCTTTGAGAGCCTGCCTACGAAGCTTCAAGAATGTGGTGTACCCTCCAATGGGACATGTGGGAGAGAACCAGCTGACAAACCTTGCCAGCTCTGAGAGGACTCAGCAGCTTAGGACAAGGTAGATGCCGCCTCCCAGGGTGCTCGTGAGAATCAAACACAAGAACAGCGCCTGGCACCCAGGAGCTTCAGACAGGGAGGAGGAAAGTGTGGCAAGAGAGCCGTGATCAGTCAGGGTTGAGGACTGTGGAAAGCTCTCGTAGCAGAGGTGAGAGTGGAACCACTGTTTTAAGCACAGATCGAGCCACAGTGACTCTGGGAATGCATTGCCACAGTCTGATCCATCTGAAATCTTTTTTTTTTTAATCATCTTGAATGTGATTTCCTGTTTTAAGAGAAAAAGATTGTTGCTTAGCAGCCTGATAATACAGTAGCTATACTATAACTGTTTCTTCAATAATTTAAGTTTTACAAAACCTCAATTAAAATGGTGGTGAGTTGACAAGTGACATGACTGTTAAAAACCATACTCTAGACCTTCCTCTGTCTTTATTCATGGGGTGGAAGAGCATTTTTAAGCACATAATTTTTCTCCAAGAAATACATGATCTTAAATGTAATGAACCATGTCCAGAAGTTTGAAAACTTCCTCCAACATTTGCATTTGATAATACAACAATTTAACGTCTGCAGTATTTAGTTAAACAGACCATAAGGGGCCAATTTCAGTATTAAATGATTATGGTTATTTTCTCATTGTTTTTAGGAACACAAAGCCCACATAAATTAATGAAGAGACTAATTTATAGATTAAAAGTAAATGTAGCAGAATTATATTAAGTACAGATTCAGACTCTGACACGTAAGTGAATTCTAGGGGGCTACTATATTTAATGGGGCTTCCCTGGTGCTCAGAGGTTAAAGTGTCTGCCTCCAATGAGGGAGACCCAGGTTTGATCCCTGGGTTGGGAAGATCCCCTGGAGAAGGAAATGGCACCCCACTCCAGTACTCTTGCCTGGAGAATCCCATGGACAGAGGAGCCTGGTGGGCTACAGTCCACGGGGTCCAAAGAGTAGGACATGACTGAGCGACTTCACTTTCACTTTACTTTCTTTCACTATATTTAATAGAGGAGTCATTTGTAATTAGCTTGAGCCATTTTCATACGATTAAAAAGTCCTCGAAATATATTTTCTTAAGAAAAGAAGCATATTTCACAAAATCTTCATTCTAATTCTAGTATATTCCTAGTTTCCCCATGGACAATATAACACTGTTCCTCAACATGGTCCAAACAAAAATGGGTCTGAATTTTGTGCTTTTTACCATAAATCAACTGTAGGCATCTAGTGTAATTTCAATGATCAGCATATTTTTGAGGTAAAACACGTCATAATACTTGTTTTCTTGGGAACAAATGTGTAGCTTCTGCCTCCCCTGATTTTGGAGATTTCAGGCAGTTCGTTATGTCGAGTGTCTGTTATAGGTTCTCTGTGAGAGTCTCTAGGCACTAAACTCAGGACTCATTTAAATGGGGGTTCACTTTATTTCATGAATTCCTATACTGGCTCGAGGATTCTAGAGGGAATGTGGCTCTTCACATTTTGAGAGAAAAATGTCTTTTGAAAAAGAATTCTGATATTTCAGCTGCTGTTCCTGAAGTGAAGTCGCTCAGTCGTGTCCAACTCTTTGCGACCCCATGGACTGTAGCCTACCAGGTTCCTCAGTCCATGGAATTTTCCAGGCAAGAGTACTGGAGTGGGTTGCCATTTCCTTCTCCACAGCTGCTATTCCTAGTGAGGGGAAATTGCACAAAAATAGATTTGATTTTATCAAAATTTTATCACCTTCATTTTCTCTGACTTTCATTGTTCAAAAAAATTATATAGCAAATGTAAAGTGAAAGAGAAATAGACTGATTTTATTGTTAATAACTTTGTGTAATTTGAACTTCAACATGGGTGATATTTGGAAAAATTTGTTGACGGAATGTAGTAGTTCAGTTTGGAAAAATTAGGAGAAAATAAACAAGTACTGAGGAAATCACTAAGATAATTTGGAAGTGTTGGGCTGGCCAGTAAGTTTGTTAAGGTTTTTCCATAGGCTGTAACAGAAAAACCCAAACGAATTTTGTGGCCAACCCAATAAAAATGTCTGCCCCCAAAATAGCAAGCCAATGTATTGTATTTTATATGATTTCTCATTTTGCCGATTGATTGATGGTATTTTGCTATTAAGTTTGTTTTAAAATGAAACTAAAAACCTCTCTTGTCTGCGTGATGTGATGTTACCTGGTCCCACTCATTCCACCAGCTCACTGCCTCCCCATCCAACCTTGACCCAGACTCTTGGCAGTCTCCTGTTACAGCAAACCAAAAGTTAAATCCGCTCCCCCAAATTATAACACAAATACAAAGGTGACCATTCTGTGAAACTTTTCTTTACTGGAGGGTGGATGGGAGGGAGAAGGATATGACCACAGGAGTGTGTGGGAGTCCATGTAAGAAAAGTTGCTTTTTAATTTCAAGTTAACATTGTATTGGGAAATAAAAAGCCCTGCCTTTTCAGAAATGCTCGGGTAACAGTGATGACGCTGGTCATTGTGAGGGGCTTCCCAGGTGGTGCTGGTGGTATAGAGAGCCCACCTGCCAATGCAGGAGACATAAGAGACATGGGTTCGATCCCTGGGTTGGGAAGATCTCCTGGAGAAGGAAGGGCATGGTATCCATGCCATACCATACCATCCACTCTGGTATTCTTGCCTGGAGAATCCCATGGACCTGGCAGGCTACAGTGCAAAGGGTCACATAGAGCTGGACACGACTGAAGCATCTGAGCATGCACAGCATGCATGGCCATTGTGAGAATTATTATGACCGAAATCAAATGTCTGTCACTGAAAAATCACTTTAGTATGCATCTGAATTCTGTGGGCTGCTTGTTAGGTGTCAGATTTCTGGACTCCCTGAAGTTCCAAACCAGAAAGTCTAGAGGTGGAGCCCAGAAATCTGCATTGTTAACAGGCAGTCAAATGATTCTCATGCAGGAGAACTGGAACTGTATCGTGAGGAACACAAGCCTAGGTGAGATCTCCATTGCTCGAGCTTAGAAAGATATGGCATAGAGATTTCCCTGCTGGCCCGGTGGCTAAGACTCCGCCCTCCCAATGCCCAGGGGCCGAGTTCCATCCCTGATTAGGGAACTAGATCTCTCAGGCTGCAACTCAAGATCCTGCATACTGCAGCTAAGAACCAGTGCGGCCAAATAAATTTAAAAGAGAAAAAGATACCATATGGAATCTTAGTAAAAGACTGTGCTTTTAGTTTAAATTTCGCACATAATAATATTAAAGAAAAATGACCTTTTAGTCAGAATCGTGTAGGCAGCAATAAATACAGCCCCTTACATGAGCAGATCCATCAGCTCAGTCTATAGTAGGTCAATGCATGTTACAGAATGTAAAAATAAATAATGGATGAATCAATCAATCTGTCATTCAGTCCTAACTTTTGAACCCTGAGTTAAGTGATTCTTTGTGTAAGCTTTATAACTCTAAAATTTTACATGCCACTAAACATTTGTTTCATAGTGTACTATATTTCTGTCAGCTTTCAAGGTTAGTGTGATACTGAATTCTACGGTTAAAGAGTAAAATCTAATGGAAAAATTCATCTTTTTTTTTTTTGCCATACCACATGACATGTGGGGTCTTAGTTCCCTGACCAGGGAAGGAGCCTGTGCCCCCTGCAGTGGAAGTGCAGAATCTTAACCACTGGACCACTAGGGAAGTCCCCCAGATCAGCTTTTAATGTATTTGTCTTCACCACAAACTGGGGAGCTGTGACATTAACACATATGTAAGACAACGTAAGAATGGAATTTCCTTCCTCACAGTTAATTCTGAGAGGTGTTAGACGTTTCACATGTCTATCATGTTCCTTTGACTTTCACTGGCAATCCCCACTTTAGAACTGAAATGGTTTTGGTTTGACTTTTAGGAGGCTGAGCTATCAAGATAAGTATAATCCCACTCCCTGCTCTCTGAAGGGCTTAGTAAACTGTCAGTCAGACAGCCAACACCTGGAATCTGATGTAAGATTATCAGAGGGGAAAGTTTGAACCACCTCCTGCTCCCTGCGTTGCCAGGGAGGGGTCCTGCTGTGGGGTTATGAGGATGGCCACACACAGGACATTCCGGCAGCTGAGTCTGACAGCAGCTTATGAGTCACGGAGCCCCGTGGCCTGGGGGAGGATGATGGTGCACGCCATGCAGGGTCATGCCGCGGCTGCACTTGGGGACAGAGTGAACACCAGGGGCTGCGGGTGACGAGGCTCTCCTGTGAGCGGGGGTGTGCCCCATGGCTCCTGGGGAAGGATGTAACTGTCTGAATAAGTCAGTGGTCTGGCAGGGAACCCCCACCACCCTGGGATGAGCAAGGACTGTGCCTGATCCCCTTGAAAAGGAGACCTATTTAGCTGGGGTCTTGTCCACAGGAGCAGAGTGAGGAGGGGAGCTTGTAACTGGGCCACTCAAGGTCCTCCTGGTTTTACCAGACGTAAACAGAACATAATATTAAGTCTTCATTTTAGGCCTTATATTGCAGAGCATGTGCTTTCTTCATCAAGCTTAGCATCTTTTTTTTTTTTTTTTTAATACATAGAAGAGGAGTGTGATCCAATTACTTTGAACTGCCCAGCAAATTCCGATGTGCAGCACCAGGTAAGAATAATGTCAGTTATATTTTTACCCCTAGGCACATGCTAATCCAACTAGAATTTACTTAGTAATTATCTTCTAGAGCTTTAAAAATAAAGAACAGGATTTTTGGATAATAAGTTTGGAAATGACCTTTAAGCATCCCAGTAATGTGGTGTATCTGTATAGCTTCTGTTACTTTTAGTAACTGGGTAGCTTTAATCTAGTCTTTGAAATAAATCTTATCCATATGCCAAAAACAGGCCATCAGTGTTATTGAGTTAGAAAGGAAAGTTGCTTTCTTTTGCCCATTGTTGGTATGCACTGGATGGGAATTTTTTCTTAAAGCCTCAACAAAACTGGGTAGTTCAAGACATTTTTGTAATGTTTTATAAAATTTTTACTTCATTCAGATACCAAGTTTTAACATATTATTTTAATTGTCCTTTTACATAATACAGCTGTCGTTTTCTGCTTTTAAAAGAGTGCTTGTTATTTTAAACTTCAGATCTGACAAAATGTACCAAAAGGTTGAAAATCACTTGGCACCTTCTACTGTTCACCTTGCAAGGGACAGAAAGTCCCCTACATAGGAATGAGATCTGTTCTGAGAGCAGTTTGTAAGTCTGATTTGTTCATAAATCCAGCAAAGTTAGCCTAGGTACCCAAGTAACATAATCGGCTATATAGTACTGTACTGTAATAGTTTTATAATACTTTTCACACAGATAATATATAACAAAGCAAACACGAAAAATAAAACATGTTTAACCTTACAGTATAGTACTTTGAAAAGGTCTGTAGTGTATAGTACGGCAGCTGGTGCTTCTTAGCACTACCAGCTACATCACCGCTGCTTTTACATTCGCTCCCAGACATCCTGGGCTTGACATAAAGGTACTGTACTACTGACTGTATACAGTAGTGTATAGTAAAGTACACAAACGCACAGCCGCTTGTAGAGGATGCACACACGTGACAATGTACACCAGACACGTGACCTGATTTGTGTGATTGCACATGTGAATGCACATTCACATCTTTGAAAGTTCTCAACTTGAAGGTTTGTATGTAGGGGACTTACTATACATCCTTCCAGAAGCTTCTTTGGGTCACCGGGTGCTTCAGTTACTTCTTGATACTTTCCAGGCTATCTCTGTTTACTCATTCAAAGCTCATTAGCAAAACTACACAATTCCTCACATCCGCCTAGCTATAGTTAGGACATTAAAAGTCTCAAAAAGGGTGTCTTGCCTCAAGACAGACTGGCTGGGTCCTGCTTTCTCTGTAATACCAAGTTAATTTTTAACAAGACTGATTTGAACCTTGCCTGGCCCGTAGAATCCTATGGACAGAGGAGCCTGGCAGGCTATGGTCCATGGGGTTGCAAAGAGTCAAACATGACTGAGTGATTAACGTTGTTTTTTTTTTTTTCAGTCTTACTATTAAAGCATCAGTCAGTAATAAATCAATAATAGTGATATTCTTAGATAATCAAGTCACTTTTGTCACAAAGCAGATTTATACAGTAGTTGGTAAGATAAGCAATTTTAACCATAAACAGTTCTCTTGAAAATTGTCAATGGTGCTACTTCTAACTTTAACTTGGCAGTCTTTAGTCGCCAACTAGGAATACCATTTTCTTATTTATTAATCCTGATACTCAGCATTTTCCTTGGAATTATAACCTGATGCTGGACTTTGACAGTGATTGAATTTCAACTATTTTAGTGAACTTTAGATTCACTGAAAACTTAGTATAAGTTTTTCCTTTCTTGGAATCCTTAATTTACTTAAAGTTTTGCTCCTCACATTTTTTTGCAACAAGATACAAGAATGTTATGTTGTTTGTTTAGTTTTAGGGATTTTCCAAAATCATATAAGATTAGATACAGAATATGCTTTAGGACACTGTTCAGTATATTTTCTAATTTTAGTATTATAGTTCTGGTTTGATCAAGCATAGATTATCTTCAAAGATGGAAAAAGATTTTTCAACTAAAAAAAGCAGGGTGCGTGCTCAGTCACTTTAGTCGAGTCCGACTCTGCGACCCTATGGACTGTAGCGCACCAGGCTCCTCTCTCCATGGGATTTTCCAGGCAAGAATACTGGAGTGGGTCTTCCCGACCTGAGGATCAAGCTCGTATCTGCCTGTATCTCCTGGATTGTAAGCAGATTCTTTACCCACTGAGCCACCTGGGAAGGTCCCCCACCCCTAAAAAAGGGGGGGACCTACTTGGGATTTTTATTTAAGTTCTGTTTTAAAACAGGCTGTCATATATTCCTATAAAAAGTAGCACTGTACCTACTACTTCAGTTGGTTATTTCTTTGCATAATCTGTATGACTTGTTCTAACCGCTAGGTATCCAGAAAGAATCTTTGAAACTAACTTGGCAGTTAGAACAAAGAAAACTCACTAGGGGAGAAATGTTTAAAAAAAACACAACAACACTTCATTTTCTGTAGCTCAGACTTTAAAAGCAAGTTGAAAATACATTCTTTAGAATATTTATCATTTGCTGTTTCTTCGATTTTTCTAATTTATGAGACTGACGCACTGCCTACTGCACTAAGGAGACAGATGATTTTTCTAATTTATAAACTAAAATCCATTTCTATGTAAGATCTAATTTTAACCAGCTTTTTTTGAATGTTGCCAAGGGAAAACATTGTGATGTCCTGTTTGTCAAAAATAGAAAACTGACATCTCATAAAATTTCATCAAGAATCCTTTTCTTTTAGTAATTTGAAATCAATACCCCCCATCAATTAGAGTCATCCTACTTGTCCAGTTTGTTACAGCTGGTACTTGCCGAGTCTGTGTCCTGAGCCTGGGTATTCTTAGATGTGCAATACTCAGGGTGGGGGTTGAGGCGGTGGGGGGAGTAGGGAGGAGACCAGACCCAAGCAGAGCTTCTAGACTTGTTGAACAGCAGTGTACGCAGCGTTAGATTCTGGATGTGGCTCTGGTTCATCTGTTTAAAAATTTTTTCATGGTTCTTTATGTTTATAGAAAATATTTCCCAGAGTCTTTAAATCAAATAATAAAATTTTAACTACATGCACACATGTATGGCAAATGATAGCAGAGCAAAATCTGTTTCAGTTTTTAGTTAAGAATCAACAAGATACAAGAATGTTATGTTGTTTGTTTAGTTTTAGGGATTTTCCAAAATCATATAAGATTAGATACAGAATATGCTTTAGGACACTGTTCAGTATATTTTCTAATTTTAGTATTATAGTTCTGGTTTGATCAAGTATAGATTATCTTCAAAGATGGAAAAAGATTTTTCAACTAAAAAAAGCAGGGTGCATGCTCAGTCACTTTAGTCGAGTCCGACTCTGCGACCCTATGGACTGTAGCGCACCAGGCTCCTCTCTCCATGGGATTTTCCAGGCAAGAATACTGGAGTGGGTCTTCCCGACCTGAGGATCAAGCTCGTATCTGCCTGTATCTCCTGGATTGTAAGCAGATTCTTTACCCACTGAGCCACCTGGGAAGGTCCCCCACCCCTAAAAAAGGGGGGGACCTACTTGGGATTTTTATTTAAGTTCTGTTTTAAAACAGGCTGTCATATATTCCTATAAAAAGTAGCACTGTACCTACTACTTCAGTTGGTTATTTCTTTGCATAATCTGTATGACTTGTTCTAACCGCTAGGTATCCAGAAAGAATCTTTGAAACTAACTTGGCAGTTAGAACAAAGAAAACTCACTAGGGGAGAAATGTTTAAAAAAAACACAACAACACTTCATTTTCTGTAGCTCAGACTTTAAAAGCAAGTTGAAAATACATTCTTTAGAATATTTATCATTTGCTGTTTCTTCGATTTTTCTAATTTATGAGACTGACGCACTGCCTACTGCACTAAGGAGGCAGATGATTTTTCTAATTTATAAACTAAAATCCATTTCTATGTAAGATCTAATTTTAACCAGCTTTTTTGAATGTTGCCAAGGGAAAACATTGTGATGTCCTGTTTGTCAAAAATAGAAAACTGACATCTCATAAAATTTCATCAAGAATCCTTTTCTTTTAGTAATTTGAAATCAATACCCCCCATCAATTAGAGTCATCCTACTTGTCCAGTTTGTTACAGCTGGTACTTGCCGAGTCTGTGTCCTGAGCCTGGGTATTCTTAGATGTGCAATACTCAGGGTGGGGGTTGAGGCGGTGGGGGGAGTAGGGAGGAGACCAGACCCAAGCAGAGCTTCTAGACTTGTTGAACAGCAGTGTACGCAGCGTTAGATTCTGGATGTGGCTCTGGTTCATCTGTTTAAAAATTTTTTCATGGTTCTTTATGTTTATAGAAAATATTTCCCAGAGTCTTTAAATCAAATAATAAAATTTTAACTACATGCACACATGTATGGCAAATGATAGCAGAGCAAAATCTGTTTCAGTTTTTAGTTAAGAATCTGTGCCAAAGGAGACTGCAATAGTAAGAAAATCAGTAATGATGAGGATGCCAAGTTGGAGTTAGAGGTTATGGAAAAATAACTTTTTCCTCTGTTTATGCTGGTTATTTGGTTTTACCAAACTATAATTTTTTTAAGTTTAAAAAAACACATTAAATTATTGGTATTGTTATTATTGATATTATATTGATACCATACCATATTGATATGCTATTATTAGTGTGATACTAATATACGATGTTGCTAATAAGGGAAACCACTGTAGAGTATATAGGAATGCTCTATATTATCTTCTCAAATTTTCTGTAGATCTAAAACTATTTTGAAACATACATACACACACATGTATAATATATATATTTTTTAATTTACTTTTCTTTCTTGGCTGTGCTTCACAGCATGTGGAATCTTATTTCCCTGATGAGGGATAGAACCCCCACCCCTTGCCGGGGAAGCACAGAATCTTAACCACTGGACCTCCAGGGAAGTCCTGAAACATACACATATTTTAAAAACCACACTAAATATAATTTAGAATCTAGAAAAATGAAAAAACTCATCCAAAATTCCACCACTCTAATATTATTTTTGTCATTTTGA